CCCCAAAACCCCAAAACCCCTTATATCCAAATTTTATGCTTGAAATAGTTTTAGATTATGTTAATAATATTTAAAGTGTAATATATATAATTATGGATCTATTTAAGTATATCCTTCTATCAAAGATTCTCATCTTTCTTTTGATTATCTAAAATTGTTTTTGCTTCTTGTTTTCTACAGTAGAAGGAGCTCTGTATTCAATGACATTTTAAGAAAAATTCTCCTTGATATCTAGCAACATCTTAGACTTTTGTATTTATCCAAGGACCATATACTATGCAAACGACTAATTAGCATTTCGGGATATAATTAAGATGACATTGAAGAGAAATAATGAATCATAATCAAATTTCATATCAGAAACTAAACGCTTAATGAAGAAAACTTAGCCTGAATATTACGGTAAGAACTTATTAGGATTTTCATAAATTTTAGATACTTTTGTTTATAAAAAAAATGTGACTGTCCGTATTCCTTTGATCACTCATAGAATATGGCTTACAGACATTTTATCTCCTGTTGAAATTGATTAAATATTAAAGATAGAAGTATTACAAGAAATGGCTTAAAGTTATAAATTATTAACAGAATCTGCAAAATAAAATGGTTTGAATTGGACCCATTATGCTTGGATCTAAAATATGACTTTGCTACCTAAAACTGTAAAAATCTTTTAAGACTTTGGAGTTGAGGTAAAAGAAATTTATGATTTAGAAGCAATGAAAAATGAAAGAAAGAGGAGATAATTTGAATACTATGTGTAAGATTTAAGAGCCATATCTGCAGGAACAGATTTTCTAAGAGCAATAACAGTATTTGAATACGGAGGAATTTATTTTGACAATGACTATTCTTTTAAATATTGGGATTACAATGTAAATTACTATTTTGATTTCTTTGCTATTTATGTTCATTACCCTTGGCCATTTGGCGTATTAGAGACAAATTTTTTCGCTGCAAAAAAAGGTCACATAGCATTACAAGGCTATATTAATCTTATGGTAGATGGCTTTAAATTCAATAACGAATCCTAAGAGAGACATTTTTATTAGAATGATTGCAGTGTGAAGACATAAGCAGTTGCCTTATTTGGAACTGGACCTCATGCATTTGGTGCTTCAGTCTTATACTATCTTAATCAAAATGGTAATTAGGATATAATAGTTACTCAACTTATCAATCTGGACAAGTATCCAATATAGATTATTGATGAGAAAGGACAATAAGGTACTCTTATATTATAGACAAAAGGTAGGGATAGATTTATGGCAACATGGAAAAATTCGATGAGAGATTTATAAGCATTTGGTTGGCATGATTTTACGGATTTCTGATTCGTTTTTTAATTAATATTATCAAGACTAATAATTATGCAATAAAATAACTTTATATAAACTTTGGCACGGGTTTTGGATTAAAAAAAACTACTTATTAATTGTATATTTCTCATAATTAATTATGCCTATCGATTAAAATTAAATACTTCCTTGCGGGGTTTTGGGGTTTTGGGGTTTTGGGGTTTTGGGG